TTACTTTTGGTAACGGTAACAGGCTTTCACTTTTTCCTCGTCGCCATTGATATGTATGCGTAAATAAAAGGCTACCGTTTAGCTAGACGTTTATTAACGGACTGGTGGGGACAGCTTCGACACTCGGCTGACAGATAAATAATTATTCGATTACCTTCTAATATACTACATTAAGCATGTTATTAAGTAAATTTAATGATTATAATGAATAAATTGATCAATGTCCTTTATTGGATTTTAAGACTTATACCTATTCATTTCTTTTCAAAGTTCTACTCCGTGTTTTGCCACAAATAATAACCATAATTAATTATAAATTCCGGACAACTTGGATGAACATTTTATTTACTCCCAACTTATGTTAAGCTTGTACTATCGAAACTTAACAACATACTTTAATGGTTTACTTTGTAACCGTGACTCGGGAATAATTATGATATACTATACAATACATAAATATTCATATTTTTAGAGCAAAAAGCCGTTGTACCAACAACAGAACATAGTTGTGTGTTCTGTAGTACAAACCCGTAGTTCAATGTACATCAATTTGGTGATTCGATGCCACCATTAACAAAATACTGTGCTCCTTATCCCAATCATGAAAACCTAGTCCAAGCAAAAGCTTTCAAAAAATTTATCGGTCTTACTAAAAATAGTCGACATGCTTTCAAACCTTGTTTAGGTAAATTTTGAATGTATTTTTTTCTTAAACTCATATTGAACGCATGCCTAACTTTTTGTGGTAACAAGGTGTTTTTGTCTTAAGTCGAGTAATAAAGCTCAAATAACCTGTTAAACAGGGACACCATGATCGTGTTGTGTTTGCAAGTTAATCTATGTACTATCTGTTTATCAGCAGTGCAGTATCAAGAGCAAAAAGTTTGCAATCGCCCGGATATTGAGGCTCGCATGCTCACCGGAAGCGGGGCCATAACCGTAACTCAGCCGTCCGGTGTTACGTGCGCACTATTTATGTACCTACCGCGCTCAGATTGATGGCGGCATAAAGTCGCAAATGTTTTTACGCCCTCGGTTAGTTTGCGTCATAATCATAATATAGTTAAGTAAGTGTCGATTCGAGTATAACTTTTCGAGGCCTAAAAAGTTTTCATCCCTTACCTGCTTGCGATTCTGTAAAATAACATTTCTGATCCGAATTGGATACTTCAGATTTTAGACATTAAGCCGAAAACATATTTTCCTGTCATGCTGTTTTGTGACGCGTCCGAGAGGTATCAGTTTCATACATTTAGCAGGATTAGAATTATATTTGTGTGTCTCGATGTATCGACGAAATTTATGAAACCGATACCTCTCTGGCGCGTCACGACATAACAGACAGACATATATATTTCCGGCTTCAGTTAAATATGCATTACGTCATTACGTGCAAAGAATGCATCGAAATGTCGCAATATGTTGAAGCCATGTTGAAGCATTCTTCGTCTTAGGTTGAATCTGCCAGTAGTACTAGATAATTGAAATTTGACAAAAATCGAGTAAATGAAATCGAAATACCGAAAATAAGATTGAAATGTAATTGAAAAGCATGAAATGAAAACCATCCAAACCTGATATTAGGTACGCACTAATTATGTACCACTCACCGTCAGATATATAGTGGTATAAACTCGCAAGTGTTTTTACGCACTCGGTTAGTTTGCGTCATTATTAAGTTAAGTACCGTTTCAAGTGAAAACTCTTCTAGGCCTAGCAAACTACTATATACTATACTTCAGTGAGTCATGCCAGTTAAAAACATAAGTTAGTGGTGAGCTGGTAAGTGCAGCAATAACTTTCGCCTTTTTATTAGAGAATAAGGTGCAAAGAAACACAACTTGAAATAATATTATTTGCCTTTAGTCTTCAGTAGATGAAATATTTTTTCTTAGATCGGTGATCTACTTCGAGAGGAAAACGCTGCTCTATCCTGAAAAGAGGGGCTCCTTAAATTATTTCTTAATTGAAATACAGGAGCTTTATTGTAGGAGCTAATACTATTGGTTTAAATTGATTTCCTTGATTATGATTGGTTGTATCGAAATACCGGCCAAGTGCGTGTCGACGCGCAGTGTAGGTTTCCGTAGTTGCCTGTCGTGACCACAATGTATTTGAGCAGGAGTCTTTATTTTCAGTATCTGATATTAAAAAAGACAATTAATATCAAACTACGTATCTCAACTAAAATACCTAAATCAAAGTCAAACTGCGTCTCAAACTCAAAACAAAACCAATTCGATATAGGTATATATTTTTTAATACGAATGATAACTGCTGATCTTTTAAAATGCTTATTCTTTATTAAAACGTAACGATAGCGCGATTCAGAAGCATTTGCTGTTGGTACTCGCGGTAGCTTTGTGGAACTAATGATAATTTATTTTGGTTTGTAAATAGTTTTTTTTAAGTTTGTTTTTCAATGCAAGGTTTTATGCTATAATAACTTCATTTATATTTTTCATGAATTTGGCGTATTTTTCTACACATAAATGCGTAACAATTCTTGAGGTACAAAAATGGCAGAGTTGTATGGAGAAAATAATAAATCCTTCAACTTTTAGCTCATTGACCAATTTTCAGGTTTCAATTACAAAAAAACAAAGTTTCATAGAAAATTTCTTCCCCTTTAATCCCATATGAGGTTAATTTTGCAAAAAAAATATTATAAATTACAGCGCAACCCGTTCAGTGGTTTGAACTGTGTTTGATGGATAGATCTGTCAATCAGAAAGTAACAGATGCCTTTAATACACACATCAAAAGTGTCTAGGGATCAAGCATTTTTATGCGGATTTCTTGAGATTGAGATGTGGCTTTGTAATAAATTTATGATTTTATAAATTTATATGGATCCTTTTTGGTGCATTTCATAATTTGAATCAGGAACTGTGAATCAAATTCGAGTAAAAGATGAAAATCAGCTGTCAATATTTTCCCTATAAAAACATACAACGCATTGAAGACATTATTAGTGCTACTGTTTCCCTACTACTGATTAAAACCAACGTTATTATGGAGCGGCGACGTCATTTAAGCAGGGAAGAAATGCTCAGAGCCGTGGGAATGATAGAAGCTGGTTCCCGGCAACGTACTGTGGCTTTAGCTCTGAATACAAGTCAGAGTGTTATCAGTCGACTTTGGACACGATACCGAAGCACTGGTACCGTGGCTGAGCGCCATGGAGGACGGTATCGCTGCACCACACGGAGACAAGACCGATACATTCAAATCTTAACTCGAAGAGCTCCAACAATAACCGCCATGATGTTAGCCGTGAGGCTTCATCACTCTTCAGGGAACTTAATTAGCGACCAAACAGTCAGAAACCGCTTGCATGAAGTGAACCTTTATTCCCGAAGACCGCTACGGGTACCACCTATAGCAATGCACAATCGTAGGATTCGATATCAATGGGCTCTTGAACACAGAAATTGGGCAGAAGAACAATGGCGTTTCGTGTGCTTTTCTGATGAGTCTCGTTTTGGTATGAGACCGGATACAAGACGTATACGACACTGGAGAACCCCTGGACGCCAACAGCGATTAAAATCCTGCCAGGAAGTCCGTCCTTATAGTGGTGGAACCATCATGGTATGGGCGGGTATTTGGATCGGCGGAAGAACTGAGTTGATTTGGATCAGAGGCAACCTCAACGCTCAAATTTATGCTGAGACGATTGTATCAGACGTCATCGTTCCTCTACAAGTGCAAATCGGTCCCTTATTTCAGTTAATGCATGATAATGCACGACCGCACACCGCAAGAGTTGTAAGACAGACTCTCGCCGCAGCTAACATCAATGTCCTGCCCTGGCCTGCTCAGTCGCCAGACTTGAACCCGATTGAGCATGCATGGGATATGCTACAGAGAAGAGCTCTGCCGAATATGGAGGGTATCCAGTCGCAAGAAGACCTTTTTTTGTTGTTGCAACGAACATGGGCGGCCATTCCACAGCGTGATTTGGATGAACTCATTTTGAGTATGCCAAACCGAAATACGGATTATTAATTGTTTAAGTTACCCAATAAAATTTTAGAGAAAACTGTTATTTCAGTCTTTTTTTCGAACTTTTGTGTTAGTGGTTCAAATGTCAAAAATCCCTTTATTAGGAAAATGGCAAATTTCTTTATTAATGCAAAGGTGACTTGGTTTATCGTTACTGTGACAAACGAAAACACTTTATTTGATGAATCCTTAAAGAAAATTTTAATTAATATCAATCAGGAGAAAAGTTATTGCAAAAATATATGTTGATCCCTAGACACTTTTGATGTGTGTATATTCCAGTTTCACTTAATTTTTATCCCTGTTCTATAGAACTGAGGCCTAACAGCGGATAGCTCCATAATCGTATCGCATCGTTAAAGTTTCTGTGAAAACTAAGCAGAGCCTATTCCAAACGTAAGACCAACTTGCTCCTACAATATAAAATTTGACAACGACAATACGATTACGGGTGTAATTTAATTATTTTTATAGTCTTTATTGCATCAAATAGTATAAAAACAGAAAGTCAAATACATAGTTGGCGAAGGTGTATTAGTATGATGAAAAAGTGTTACTCCCTACATTTTCCGTATTACCGGTCATGTTTCGTTCGCACGGTCTGTTTCATACGGTGTATAGAGCTGTAACATTTGTACCGATGCTGTATGATTGATAGAGTCTACTCGATTCCCCTTCCCACCCTCCTTACTCCTCTAACGAACTGTGACAAAATTTATTGCCTAGTTTCTTTTTATAGCTTCTGACTTCTGCGCGAAATTGTCTCCGAGAAGTAATTTTTGCATGATCATATTATTATTTTTCTTTATACCCTTTGTTAAATTATATTTGTTAGTATTAGATAGAGAAAATAAAAAAGATGACATTAGCATGTGATCGACAAACTAAGGTAGAAAAACAATAAAGCTTACATGTGATGTGACTGTAAGTTGAAATGCATTTTATCCTTCCCATTTTCAGAGCACTATCAGAATAAAGTTGTTTCCCACAACATGGTCTTAATATTGTGCTAATATATCTTTCAGCAGCAGTCTTATGAAATAAGGACTCCCTATTCTATCCATACGGCTGAGCCCCAGCAGTGGGGACATTAATAGGCTGATGATGATGATGATGATGATGATGATTATGAAATAATATTTATCAGTTTGGATTGATCAGCGAATGGATTTTTTCTAGTAAAGATTTTACTTCAGATTTTTAAATCGAGCAGTTTAAAGCTTAGAAATAAAAACATCGCTTCCTTGGGGTAGAAAGGTCGTAATAGCTAAAACTATACAGTTATATTGATCCTGTTAAATGAGATTTGTTATGTTTTTATATTCTTTGCAATGGAAAGCCTTATTTTATCAGTCAGTCTCTTAGTTTAGAAGTTAGCATAGATTATCAACCATATATATATTTTTTAATGGTTTATACACCCCATAATTATTTGAGTTGTTGATTTAATGAGTCGTAACTAAATGTAAGTTGTTATTGGGCTTAAAAACCACTAACATTAAATAAAGTAAGTTGTAAAATTATACATTTCGAATGTTGGGAGTCGTAACTATGATACCTTTATAGCAATATTACATACTTACTATAACCTTGGGTAATAAAAACCAATATATCTAAATACTCCACTGTAAACTTATTTCAATTTTAGTCAGTTGGGTCCACTTGCAGCAATGTTGCTAAATCTCAATTTAATTAAAACTAGATATAGCGACATTGACGTTTTGACATGCTTCTATGGGATAGATATAGTTTGAGCTAAATCGAAATTTAGCAAATTTGCTACAAGTGGGCGTTAATGATGACTCAAATCATGTCAATTTAGAATAATACGTATTAAGTAAAACAAAGTGTAAAATATTTTTATATTTTTTGGTTTAATCTAGTGACTAAATGGTATCTGGTTTTAAGTCAATGTATAAATTAATGAAGTCGTTTTGTTTCACTAAGTCATTTTTATTCAAGAAAACGTAAACACAACGTTAATTATGCGATACAGTGACAGTAATTATTATTATAAAAATACATTCGTGTTTCCTTGCAGCTAATGAATACCTAGTTTACATTTTTTTGTGGACTTGGTAGGGTCGCGGACGTTTTCGTGCAGAGGAAATGTAAGGTAGCCATTGTGAGGGGCATCATACTGTTAGCATGAATCTACGGGCATGTACGTATGGCCGGGTAGCGATAAATTTTATTGCATAGTCTCTAAGCTGTTACATTGCAAAGCCTGTCCTTTTTCCTCTGCGTAGATATATTAAAACTAAAAAAATAAAAGCAAAAGGGATGTATAAATTATGTATATCTGCTAAATGTTCGTTACGACCACGGCTATATGAGTATATAACTATATTATTAAAAAAAGTTTCTATTATTATCTTTGGGCATTCTTATTATTAAACAGGCAGTAATACTGATAACAGCGATAGCCCGGCTTTCATACGAACTGGAAAGGGAGACCCGTGATTATTGTAAAATAAACCCTAACTTAGCAATTATAACATCTTAAATTACTATGACGAGTTGCCGATTATGTAGGTATATCTGCTATCATCGGCGGCTCTCAGCCGGCGCAGCGGGCGTTTGGTTTCAAACGTATCTTTTCGAATGAAGTAAGTAGTTTCGAATTTATTTGTAAAAAAATGTCGAAGGATGTAAAATCCAATTTTCACTTCACGAATGTGTTTTAATATGTGTAAATACATTTCCCTCAATTGATCTTCCTGATCTCAAGGTGTAAAAACCAAAATTTTGCTAAATGTTTGGAGTAAAAAAGCTGTAAGTCGAAATCGTCCTGTACTTCGGTTTTTACAACCAAGCGCAATTTGATACTCTGGTAGTACTCCATGCTTGACTCAAATCTACAGTCTTTTACAAATTGAGCTTATAATATGGCATTACTCCAAATGGTTATAACAACAATATTTTATTCGGTTCTTACATCATAAATTCCAAGCAAAACTCTGTTTAGACGTTGAATATATCACGGCTGAAAAAACCATTTTTTGCGAATTTGATTGCGTCACATAGACCAATCTATAGAGCGGAAAATTCTGAATAAAAGTGAATTCATAATTCATTTTGGGTAAAATAGTTTATACGACCTTTCTACCCCATCGACATCGGTGTCGATATATTTTTTTGGTTTACAGTGCCATATCGTATTTAGTTTCCCTATACATAGTAGTTTTTGTATGTTTAACAACTACTTAGTTTGTTTAGTATGGTTGTATAGAAAGGTTAGTAGTGGGGTGGGTGTGCATAATTGGGGTGTTGGGGTGGGTGATTTCTTAGGAATTGGATATTATTCTTGTAATTTTTACCATTATATACTAAACCCTGACAATCTCTGCCCATGCGATCAAAAATCTGTCCAATCCCTTTAACCACTTGATTCAACATTGTCCTCGGTATGCCGCCTCACGAAACAACTTTCTCATAATCACAAACAATACAATCTCCACTTATTACTTAAGAAAAACGCTTACGTAGAAGCGTATTTCACACACGCTTCTACTATAATACACACACTCAAAGATTTTAATAAATAACCGGCTAATATCAAACCTCAACTAAATTAAAACTCTACCTAAAATACGCTTAAACAGCATTGCTGAAGCATGGTGTAAACCAAAAGCACCGGCTTCCCAATGAGAGAAGATAAAATAGTTCTTTGTTAAAAAATATAAAAAAACCTTACTGTTTATGCATAAAAATAAAAATATGAATATAACTGGTATTTAATTTCACACTGTATTTATTACACGTTTTATGCATGTTTTATAAATTTGAGTAGGGCTGTTATAGGTTGGTAATGGGGTGGGTGATGAGGTGGGTGATGAGGTGGGTGATGAGGTGGGTGATGAGGTGGGTGATGAGGTGGGTGGTTAGGTGGGTGATGAGGTGGATGATGAGGTGGGTGATGAGGTGGGTGATGAGGTGGGTAATGAGGTGGGTGATGAGGTGGGTGATGTGGTGGATGATGGGGTGGATGATGCGGTGGATGATGCGGTGGATGATGCGGTGGATGGTGTGGATGATGGGGTGGGTTGTGTGGAGGAACATAGTGCGGGTAATCAGGTGGAGGCGGCATTTTGTGAACAATGACGCTAGCACGGAAATAGCAATGTGGCGCGCAGTGACCCCTCCCGCAGAGTGGACCGCAAGGCATGGCGTGCGGTGGAGCTATTACTGGAATGAAATAAAAATAGCATTAAATATAAGACTTACATTGCTACTCTATGATCATGTCACTTGCAATAGTGGCCAAATATCGGGTATTCACAAAAGCAAGGAACATGGTAGTAATCCCGCTAAAATTGACTATAATGGTAGTGAAGTGACCATGACAGTTAAAAACAATATAGGGCTAACATAGTGTTTATTTTGATGCCCAGATTGCAGTCAACGCGACTGTAGTCTGAGCATCGAGTATCTGTGCTTAAGAACAGAATATAGTGGCCCAAATAAGACACTTCAAAAGTTAGTAAATACCGTAGTTTATGTAAATAAATTTAGACGTCCATAAATTTAATGGGCAGCTTGGAAGTAAAATGTGTTTAACACTTATAAAGCGACACCTCTAAAACGCCAGATTTGATATTTTGGTTGGTTTTGAAATTTTATCCAGCAACAAACGTGGCAATTTGCTAATAGGTCATTTTATACAATGCTTTCTAAGCACGATGATTCAATCTGAGTGTCCGTTGATAGGCTTTTAATGAATGCACTGGGAAGTAAGCAGATAATATAATCTTAAACGTTTTTAAAAATTGCAAATATTTTCTAGTGTTCATAGTCCACAACTCACCTGTGTCTAAATATATTGATGAATCGGATTTAAATATATTGTGTAACTATTGTTATTAATTAAGTATTCAAAATATTTTAGTATATGTAAAAATAAAGAACTGATAACAGCTTTCACAAATTACTGAATATCATTGACAAAACAAGCGATTATATTGCTTTTCGTTTAATCTTTGTACACTCAAATCTGGCGATAAAATGGTTACCTGATACTATAATGTAATTTGAACTACAACTTCACATATACAGAATACAAATTTGATTATTCTTTTAACCACCGCTTATCAGTTTCTATTTTGATACACCTAAGGAAAATCGATAATTTGTCATTTATTCACATGATTCATGAAACAACTTTGTTATGCGTAATGTCAAGATATTAGGTAAGTACCTCCTAACATGCATTACTGTGTAGCTGTAAAAGAAATCCCACCAAAAATATTCTGTATAAAACTAGCCAAGTCTCGGTGGAGCTGCTTGTTTATCTCTAAAAAGTAATGAAATCTAGACAAAGTCGTGCCAAGTCTAAGGTTCCTCACTGCGATTTTTTTATTATTATAGTTAATGTTGTGTAACTAGGCCGTTGAAGGGTATACAAGGGTACAAAACCAGGTGCTACGTGACACCATTGCACCAATCCGTCGCCAGAACTGCAACCCATCGACGATGGAAAATTGCCACTTGGAAAAAGTTGATTGAATAACCAGTCAATTGTAAGCTTGATAAAATTTCGTTTACATGTAATGTTGCATATAGGAATGCATCGGTGCAATGGTGTCATGTAGCATCTGGTTTTGTACCCTTGTGTACCTTTCAACGGCCAAGTCACGCAATATTAACTATAATAATAAAGAAATCGCAGTAAGGAACCTTAGACTAGGCACAACTTTGTCTTGATTTCATTACTTTTTAGAGATAAACAAGCATCTCCATCGAGACTTGGCTAGTTTTTTACAGAATGTTTTTGGTGGGATTTCACTTATTTTTGTAGAAACGTGGGCATATTGATTGATTTAATTAGATTTTCTTATTTGACACATTTTTTTCTTTTTAGGAGTAGTCTTTTTATTATTACAAATCTTCCTTTTCTTTTTTTCCGGTTCTGATTCTTGAACAGTAGCAACAGTTTTTCGTATTGCCCACTCGCGTTCTTTATTTATTCTTTTAGACGGTTTAATTTCTGAAAGATCGGCGCGGTATTTACGCTTAAGCCGGTTGTATTCAGTGATTGCTGAAGCTTGAGCTTTTATACTCTTGAAGTCAACATTAATGAGGTGTACCCCATGAAGATTGGTTACTAGTGAAAGCGCCACGTAGGCTGGCTGGCCACAAGAGAATATGGAGGTACCAATGTCCATGAGGGCATTATTAAGACTCAGACCTTGGTATCACCGCCACTCTTAGTCCAATGCATTATATTTTTACCAAATTTTGAGCGAAATTAATATTTCAGTGTAATTTGTTTATTTAATTTGTGTAATGTTTGAGTAGAATAAAATTAATCGTTAGACTATTTTTTCTTGTAAACTCGTAAGTATAAGTATAAAAGACAGTCTAGTGTTAGCCAGAGTTTTCCTTTAATTTTATTTATATGCGTATTAAAAGTAGAAGGGGAGGCATTTGCCCAGCTGTGGGATGCTATAGGCTAGATTAAATTAAAAGATGTGTCCCACTACACTGGTTTTTTGCAATGACAGACGATTTTTTTGTGTACCAATAGTAGAAGGGGGCATTACCATATCTCTAATACAGCTGAGACCAGCTGAAGGTTCTTAGCAGATACTTCAGACCTTCGATTTTTGACATCAAATGAAGCGGCCCACCAAGTTGAATAGTTTTTGTAAAGGCGGTATGTCGATCTCTTCTAATACACACATCAAAAGTGTCTAGGGATCAACATATATTTTTGCAATAACTTTTCTCCTGATTGATATTAATTAAAATTTTCTTTAAGGATTCATCAAATAAAGTGTTTTCGTTTGTCACAGTAACGATAAACCAAGTCACCTTTGCATTAATAAAGAAATTTGCCATTTTCCTAATAAAGGGATTTTTGACATTTGAACCACTAACACAAAAGTTCGAAAACAAGACTGAAATAACAGTTTTCTCTAAAATTTTATTGGGTAACTTAAACAATTAATAATCCGTATTTCTACCGCGAACACTAACAACACAAGAACATCGGTTTGGCATACTCAAAATGAGTTCATCCAAATCACGCTGTGGAATGGCCGCCCATGTTCGTTGCAACAACAAAAAAAGGTCTTCTTGCGACTGGATACCCTCCATATTCGGCAGAGCTCTTCTCTGTAGCATATCCCATGCATGCTCAATCGGGTTCAAGTCTGGCGACTGAGCAGGCCAGGGCAGGACATTGATGTTAGCTGCGGCGAGAGTCTGTCTTACAACTCTTGCGGTGTGCGGTCGTGCATTATCATGCATTAACTGAAATAAGGGAACGATTTGCACTTGTAGAGGAACGATGACGTCTGATACAATCGTCTCAGCATAAATTTGAGCGTTGAGGTTGCCTCTGATCCAAATCAACTCAGTTCTTCCGCCGATCCAAATACCCGCCCATACCATGATGGTTCCACCACTATAAGGATGGACTTCCTGGCAGGATTTTAATCGCTGTTGGCGTCCAGGGGTTCTCCAGTGTCGTATACGTCTTGTATCCGGTCTCATACCAAAACGAGACTCATCAGAAAAGCACACGAAACGCCATTGTTCTTCTGCCCAATTTCTGTGTTCAAGAGCCCATTGATATCGAATCCTACGATTGTGCATTGCTATAGGTGGTACCCGTAGCGGTCTTCGGGAATGAAGGTTCACTTCATGCAAGCGGTTTCTGACTGTTTGGTCGCTAATTAAGTTCCCTGAAGAGTGATGAAGCCTCACGGCTAACATCATGGCGGTTATTGTTGGAGCTCTTCGAGTTAAGATTTGAATGTATCGGTCTTGTCTCCGTGTGGTGCAGCGATACCGTCCTCCATGGCGCTCAGCCACGGTACCAGTGCTTCGGTATCGTGTCCAAAGTCGACTGATAACACTCTGACTTGTATTCAGAGCTAAAGCCACAGTACGTTGCCGGGAACCAGCTTCTATCATTCCCACGGCTCTGAGCATTTCTTCCCTGCTTAAATGACGTCGCCGCTCCATAATAACGTTGGTTTTAATCAGTAGTAGGGAAACAGTAGCACTAATAATGTCTTCAATGCGTTGTATGTTTTTATAGGGAAAATATTGACAGCTGATTTTCATCTTTTACTCGAATTTGATTCACAGTTCCTGATTCAAATTATGAAATGCACCAAAAAGGATCCATATAAATTTATAAAATCATAAATTTATTACAAAGCCACATCTCAATCTCAAGAAATCCGCATAAAAATGCTTGATCCCTAGACACTTTTGATGTGTGTAGTTTGGTTGGACTCTTGTGTTTCCTAATCAGGGTCACCAGGTACCAAATTTCAGCTCTTTGAGTTTATGGGAAGTACTAGTTCTATTCTGATGATCATGAGTGAGTGAGTGAGTGTCATAAATGCGAAACTTTGCTTTTGCTGAACTTCGGAACTAAATGACCTACATACTTGAAATTTTGGATTTTAAGTATGTTATTATAGCTTACTGGATGACGAAAATTTCTGCGTTCTGGTCTTATTCAGATGTTCTCAAATAGGGCCTGAAAATGCGGCGAAATGGTTCCAGTAAAGGATGACACGGCAGTGTTTACTTCGCGCTCGACTTGGCGGGGGCACCGCCGTGCCCCCCGATAGATTTCTGAGGTTTAAAATCATAAGGTTTTGAAATAAAAAATATTATCCTTATTTCTCAGGTATCACGCACTTAACGCACACCAAACGCAATAACGCAAACCATTGTATGTGACCAAAATACTTTCAGGTTTTGTGGTCAAGGATCTCAAACATCCATATAAAAAATATTCATAACAAAAAAAATATACTTCGTCCTCGTATAAAAGAGGTTTTAATAAAAGCACATAGATATGCTATGATAAGAAAATATGGGTGCGTGTACTTAAGTACGCGCGTGAGAAGTTATACTTCTATTTGGAATTATTAAAAAATAGTTTTTAATTGCATGCAGATAATTAATTACAATAAGATAATAAAAGGATTGGAAAAGGATAGTCAACGCAGTCAATAAAGTTCAGTTTTAATTTGAAAAATTCAATAAATAATCAAAATATTCAATTTAAATCACTACTGAATTTAAGTTATTAGTCCATATGTAATTAGCACTTGTACGTAACTAAAACACGTTGTGTCTATATAGAAACATGTGGATAAATATTATAAATATGAAAACAGTGATCAGAGGCGACGAGCGTGCCAACATTGTTTTTGACAACGCGATCATCTTATGGAGCTCCGTGGATCGTTCAAAGTACCTTTCGAACAGATGTCTAATAATGATGGATTATTAACCACTAAGTGGTTAATAATCCACCATTATTAGACACTAACATTCATAACGCGCCCGATGCCAACTTCATGGTGTTACTATTGTGTTACAGTGATGCGCGCGCATCTCGAAATTTCACTCACATGATTTTTTCATAACGCGCCCGCGGCTAACTTCATTATGTTACTTTTGTGTTACAGTGATGCGCGCGCATCTAAAAATTTCACTCTCATAATTTTTTCATAACGCGGCTAAAGAAGTATAACTTCAAAAATAAACGATTCTGTTGTTGTAGTCTATGATCGGAACGTAAGCAACGTATTTCAAGCACGCTTCTACTATAATACACATACTCAAAGAATTTGAAAAATAACCGGATAATATCAAACCTCAACTAAATTAAAACTTTACCTAAAATACACTTAAACAACGTTGCTGAAGCATGGTGTAAACAAAAAGCACCGGCTTCCCAATGAAGAGAAAATAAAATAGCTCTTTTATTAAAAAAAAGAAAAATCCTTACTGTTTATGCATAAAATAAAAATATGAATATAACTGGTATTTAATTTCACACTGTATTTATTACACTTTTTTATATGCATGTTTTATAATTTTAGTACGGCTGTATAGGTTGGTAATGGGGTGGGTGATGAGGTGGGTGATGTGGTGGATGATGCGGTGGATGGTGTGGATGATGCGGTGGATGGGGTGGATGATGGGGTGGATGGGGTGGATGATACGGTGGGTTGTGTGGAGGAGCATAGTGCGGGTAATCAGGTGGAGGCGGCATTTCGTGCACAATGACTCTAGCACGGAAATAGCAATGTGGCGCGCAGTGACCCCTCCCGCAGAGTGGACCGCAAGGCATGGCGTGTGGTGGAGGCATTACTGGAATGAAATAAAAATAGTATTAAATATAAGGCTAATATTGCTATCATATACCTTAATCACCTAAATTACTCCGTGATCATGTCACTTGCAACAGTGCCGAAATATCGGGTACTCATAAAAGCAAGGAACATGGTAGTAATCTCGCTAAAATTGACTATAATGGTAGTGACCATGACAGTTTAAAACAATATAGGGCTAACATAGTGTTTATTTTGATGCCCAGATTGCAATCAACACGACTGTAATCTGAGCATCGAGCACCTGTCCTAAGAACATATTATTGGCCCAAATAAGACACTTCAAAAGTTAGTAAATACCGTAGTTTCTGTAAATAAATTTAGACTTCCATAAATTTAATGTGCAGCTTGGAAGTAATAAGTGTTTTACACTTTTTACACTTTAAAGTGTTTTACACTTTTTATCCAGTAACAAACGTGGCAATTTGCTAACAGCTGATTTTATACAATGCTTTCCAAGCATGATGAGTGAATCTGAGTGTCCATTGATAGGCTTTTAATTAATGTACTGCGAAGTAAGCAAATAATATAATCTTAAACGTTTATAAAAACGAAAAATATTTTCTAGTGTTCATAGTCCACAACTCACCTGTGTCTTAATAGAACGATGAATTGGATTTAAATATATTGTGTAACTATTGTTATTAATTAATTATTCAAAATATTTCAGTACATGTAAGAACCAAGAACTGATAACAGCTTTCACAAATTACTGAATATCATTGACAAATCAAGCGATTATATTGCTTTTCGTTTAATCTTGGTACACCCAAATCTGACGATAAAATGGTTACCTGATACATTAATGTAATTTGAACTACAACTTCACTTATATAGAATACAAATTTGATTATTCTTATAACCACCAGTTATCAGTTTCTATTTTGATATAGCTAAGGAAAATCGATAATTTGTCATTTATTCACATGATTCATGAAACAACTTTGTTATACGTAATGTCAAGATATTAGAGGTAAGTACTTCCTAACACGCATTACTGTAGCTGTAAAAGAATAGATTTCTGAGATTTAAAATCATCACTTTGCTACTGTAAACAATGGTGTTATACATTAAGTATAAGTATAAAAATAGAGCAAAACATTTATAGAAGTTTCTAGATATTGATGTTCAAATCTCTTTGTGTTCAACGCATCGTAACAAAAGTGTGATGATTGATAAAGTTATGATAAATTGTTGCTTTTGTGATTAATAAAACCTTTGTTATGACGGTAAATTAATATTATGATTAAATGTACAGTTTGATTTTTTATTATTAAACATTTGTACCATAAGGTTTTGATATACAAAATATTATCCTTATTTTTTAGGTTTCACGCACTTGACGCAGAAGAATCCCTAAACGGGGATCCCGCGGCTTCGTGCTAAGCAGCTTAGAGGGTATTCGCATGGGTTTTTAACGTATATTATGCCGTAAAGCGCCCGTAAGAGTTACGGGGTCCTCAGTGGGTAGCCACTGCTGGGGCTTGTAAGGGGAGCCAGGTGTCCGGGTGAGGTCCGTTCGGCGGTGTGCCTCTTAGAGGCGCCGTCGTCTGTAAACAGTATTTTATTGCCTGCGTATATAAAAAAAAGGTTTCACGCACTTAACGCACACCAATAATTGTATGTGACCGAAATACTTTCAGGCTCCACGGTCAAGATTCTCAAACATCCATATAAAAATATCCTTAACGAAAAAATGACACTTCATCCCCGTATAAAAGGGGTTTTAATAAAAACACACAGATATGCTATGATAAAAAAAACGTTTCTGTTGTTGTAGTCTATGATCGGAACGTAAGCAACGAATTTTACATTCCATAAAATTTGGGTGACGCATGCAAGTTCATGTAGGTATGAAAAAAATTATCAATTCAATTAGGAGTAAAAATTAGAAAAAAATATCATACCAAACCCCGAATTTATTATAGAAAATCGTTTTACTTTTCACGGTTTCACACACAGGTAGATAAATTAATATCGTTGAGTATTCTGTTGATCTTTGGAAAAAATAATATGTTGGCTTTTGAAGATGCTATAGTTTGGATGGATTCGATGTTTTTATCGTCTATTAAGTATCGTGTTCGAGGCGCGTACGGGTGTATATAGAAAATGAAAACAAGTATGTTTACTATCTCAAGTTTTGACCAAAATTAAAATATAATATCGTTTATTCAGTTAAAACTATTTGCGAACCAACGGCGTAATGACGGGGAGATCTTGTACTGAGGAAGACGGGCAAGACAGCAGTCTGCCATTAATTTATCCCAGAGTTCAAAATTATGTCAATTTGGGATGATTCAAGAGGTCACCTCTCAGTACATGATATGGAATATAGCTACTTGTCATTGATTGTTGACACAAGCTTTATCTAATATTAAAAAGGTATTTTTAATGTTATGTAGGTGCTACTTTTTCTTGCAATATTGTTTACAATGCGTGGGATTTAAAAAAATAACGACTCGTGAGGTGTGAACACTATATTATTATTATTATTTACATTATTATATATCACATTATTATTAAACATGTTTTATAAAAATATAAACAAAAATTAAACAATAATCTTACTGACATGATAAGTAGATTGACGAGCACTCGCCTATAAACTAATAATGATAAATTTGATTTAGATTATATATAACGATACCAAGTCAGTCGAATCACTTTTTTACAATGTTAGGAATAATTACTCATAGGTAGCGCACTGTAATGTTTATTTCTATGATTCAGCAAAGTGTAAATGCGAACTTTACATATTCGACGAAAGTAAAAACGTAAGTGCGACCTGGCATCTTTATTCTTGATTAGGGATAGTACGGGTGATTAGGGGAAAAGCAAGGGAGGCTCGGGGGATTTTGGTGCCAATAAAGAAGTTGGCAAGGGGGATCGTTCTGTGGATGGCACAAACATGTCTGTATTATTGGCATTTAGTACGCGCAATGTGGCAGGCAAATAGTGTTACTACAGTACGGACCGCAGAGAGGGGGAGGGCGTTCCGCTGTTCTCTTGCCTTCCTTTTTACATTCGCCGTAGAAAGGAAGGTGGGACGTGGCAAGTGCAGTGTGGTTGGGAATGAGATAGCGAAGCTGACGCAGGAGCAGTCGAGTGCAAATCTTTTCGGTGACGGAACGCTTTTAGTATTAGCGTTTACCGTTGAAAGGAAGGTGGCGTAACGTAGAAACTACATTGTTGATGGGAATAGTCAGAGAAATTCGGGGGATGTTGGGGCTAATACGGAGGTTGGCAAGGGGGGTCGCTCTGTGGATTGCACAGGTATATCGGTGACATGTGGTACGCGCAATGTGGCGGGTAGATACCGTTACGACAGTATGGACCGTAGAGATTGCTTGGTAGTTGCAATTACCGAAGAAAGGAAGCTGGGACCGGGTGGCAAGTGCATTGTTGGTTTGGAATGGGATAGTGAGGATGGTGCGGAGGATGTTGTGGACAGGGCGGGGGTTGGTAATGCGGGTTGCACGGTGGATGGTACTGGCACGGCGGCGGCATCGGTGGCGAATAGTAGGCGCAATGTGGTGGACACATTCCGTTTCCACAGTAAGGACCGCAGGGTGGAGGAGCGTGCGGTGGCGGCATTTCTGAAATAAATAAATAATTCAATATCAGAATGAACAAAGATTATCCTAACCCCTTGGTTGTCGCCGATTGTTTGGATAAAAGTAAGTATTTCCGCATGGGCCATGGGCGGCAGTGTCAACTTTCCATCAGGTGCACTACCATCTCGTTTGCGTATAAACATAAAAAAGTAAAATTATATATTTCTCAATCCACATAATCCAATCCAAGTCCTCATACGATCCAAACTTATTATGCAGTTATGATATTTTTATTTATTTTATATTTGAATTAAATTTCATGGGTACTAGTGAACATTAACCAAAAATATCTGTTAGAAATGAGCATTAGATGACAGACTAGATTAGAGACGACAAAGGAGAGTTCAAATTTTCTACATTGACCCGACCGGGAATCAACATTGGTACCACAGAGATGTAGCGGAAAATCACTTAAGTATCTATGTCGCTATATAAATATATTCAATATACAAATACAAGAATAGGCAATATACAAGTTTCAAAACAAGTTCAATATTAGTTAGGTAATATGAAATAGCTAAATTGTCAATAAAGAATCGACTGTCTAACTTGCTTATCAGGTACATCATTACAGAAAAAGGCCCCTAAAATAATGAGTTCATTAATCACACAAGTTTGAAGAAATAGAAACTTACCTGTTTATTTTATCGGTAGTAAGCTAAACAAATATATTATAAAGTGATATAAATCTAACACTCTTTTACTCTACAATATTTCACCGCTGAGTGAGCGTTATGATATATCGATTTTTGTATTCATACAATTTTGTTTGGTCAATCAATAACGTCCAAATTGATAAGCTTGTTATCATTTCTTTTATATCTTTACCTGCGCCAGATAAGATAGTACGTACAACCATACAATTAAGTATGTTTACTGTTCATTTGAGTTCTTTTAGATACACTTACATAATTTACGAACTTTAAAATTTTTGCACTAATGACAACGGAAACATTGAGTCAAAAGACCTAATTCACATTATTATTATTTTTACTTTTATATCCGCCGCTATCCGGGCGAGCAGACGATGCGGATTCGAATCCCGTCTAAAACTTTTTTTTTTATAACGCAGGTAAAAAATCTTTACAGACGACGGCGCCTTTAAGAGGCACACCCCCGAACGGACCTCACACCTGGCTCCCGCAAGCCTTACGGACACCCCAGTGGCTGACCACCGAGGACCCTGCAACTCTTACGGGCGCTTTACGGCATAATATCCGCTAAAAAAGTCCTGCGAACACCTTCTACACTGCTTTATGCGAAGCCGCGGGGTCCCCGTTTA